TACTTAATGTTGTTTCAGACATTTCGTTGGAGTACACTGACATCATATTGGCAGGTGATTTTAACAGCAACCTAATGTCAGAAAGCCATCTCGTAGATAACTTTAAATCCCTAGGTTTGTTTTCCGTAAACGAAGCGATTCCCACGCACTATAGCAGCCACTGTGATACATTACTTGACTTATTTCTTATCAATGACCCTAGCAAAATCATACATTATGACCAGGTTTCTGTACCAGCCTTCTCCAGACATGACCTAATATTTTTAACATACGACTTGACCTTTGACAGCAAAATCAATTCTTTTACGTATAGAGATTACAAAAATATAAACTATAATGAATTAAAAACGGAATTTTTGTGTTGTGACTGGTCATGTATTTACCATATTCGTCATGTAGATTGTCAATTAGAGGTTTTAACCAACAATGTCCAGAATTTGTTCAACAAGTTTGTGCCCCTAAGGACCAAGGTGATTAAACCAATGCAAAATCCATGGTTCAGTAGTGAAATTAAAAACCTAACCCGTCAGCGAGATGTAGCTTACCTCCGGTGGAAGCGATACAAAACTGATGAATTTCGAAAACAATACAAAGAGGCTAGGGTAAAAGTAAACAAAAAGATAAAATCAGCAAAGAAAGAGCATTATAACATACAATTTAATAATTGTGTTAACTCAAAAAACAGATGGAACGAACTAAAACGGTTAGGTATTGGAAAGTGTAAGCAACAGACAGAGACTGAGGTGGATGTCGAATTAATAAACAAAAAGTTTTTGGAAATAGATGTACCTGAAGCAACATGCAATCCGTACCTGAATACTCAACCCCTCTGTGATAATAGTTTTAGCTTTATATGTATAAACCAAAGTGATGTCCTAGCTAGTATTCTGCATGTCAAGTCTGATGCTGTTGGTCTCGGTAATATGAGTCCAAAATTTGTTAAGCTTTTGCTCCCCTTAATGTTGCCCCATATTACATATATTTTTAACACGGCTATTACAACGTCTTAATTTCCGTTAATATGGAAAAACGCCAAAATTTTTACAATTCCTAAGCCAAACAATGACTATAGACCTATTTCAATATTACCTTTTCTATCAAAAGTCTTTGAAAACCTTATGTCCTCACAGATTCAACTATACTTAGCTAATAATTCTCTACTTGACGAAAAACAATCAGGATTCCGTAAGAAAAGGAGTTGTATTACTGCAATCACAAATATTGTAGAGGATATAAGACAAGAACTGGACAGTAACTGCGAAACGTTTTTGACGCTCCTTGACCACAGCAAGGCTTTTGATTCTGTGAATCATAATATTCCCTGTACCAAGCTTAGGAATATGTTTAATTTCTCAACTAATGAGACGAAGCTTATTAGGTCGTACTTAACGAATAGGTTTCAAGCAGTCGTCTCTGGAACGCAAGTTTCTCCTCTCCGGAAATTATCCAGGGGAGTGCCACAGGGATCTGTGCTAGGCCCTTTATTGTTTTCTACATATGTCAATGATCTCCCTAGTATCCTGTCTGAATGTGAAGTACATTTATTGTATATGCTGATGATGTCCAAATATATGTTAGTAGACCCGTAACTGAAATACATGACTGTGTAATAAAATGTTGTGGCTAATTGAAAAATGGGGAAAGGAAAATGGCTTGGGTATAAATCCTAAAAAATCGAAGTGCTTGGTAATTGGTAAAAAGCAACTTTCAACACTTTCACTTCAAAAATTATATATAAACCATACGCCGATAAGCTATGAAGTGAATGCAGTTAATCTAGGCATAAAATTTAACAATACTTTATCATGGAGCAACCATATAGTCAAAGCGACAGGGCGTACATATGGTCTGCTGAGAAAATTTTCATTCTCCAAATCGTTCTTAACTGAGGAAGTTAGACTATTAATCGCCAAAGTTATCCTCCTGCCCACTCTCTTTTACGGCATAGAAATTTTTGGAAATTGTGATGCGCGGGATTTGCGTACATAAAATGTAGCTTTTAATTCAGTTGTCCGTTATGTGTTTAACTTAAGACGTTTTGACCATGTATCAGAGCTGACTATAAAATACTTGACCTTAACTTGACCTCCTGGATCGATCTCAGAATTTTAATCTTCTTTCACAAAATAGTGACGAGTGGAGACCAAAATATCTTTTCAATAAACTTACCCCAGCCACATCTGTAAGAACCAAAAACAAGGAAGAACGCTATAGTCGAGTACCTCGACTATCAGATACCCGTTACTCAGCTAAATAGAGATATGCAAGTAGCAATGCGAGATTAAAATGCGCCACATACCGGCGGTATACAGACTTAAGCGTTACGGGCGTTAGAGTGGGCGATAGGTATTTACGAGACCAATACATTTCAGTTAAAATTTTTTATCTAGCATAAAAATTGTGGGCGTCACAGGTTTTCGCGGTTTGTGGGCGTTAGAGTGGGCGTGGCATATTCGCGTGACAAACTTGCGCTGCGTATAAGGCTACGGAATCTAAATCTGAAATCCCAATTCTCTATCTTTGATAGTTTCCAAGATATCCACGTTCATATTTACGATTTTTTGAAGTTTGTGGGCGGTTTATGGGCGTTAGGGTGGGCGTGGCAAACTTTTTTTGGGTCAATCGATAGGTATTGATGAGAACATTACATTTCAGTTAAAATTTTTATTGTAGCATCAAAACTGTAGGAGCCACAGTTTTGGGCGGCTTGTGGGCGTTAGAGTGGGCGTGGCACTCTACTGAAACAAACTTGCGCTGCGTAAGAAGCTCAGGAATCTTCTCGCCAAATCCCAATAGCCTAGCTCTCATAGTTTCCGAGATCTCAGCGTTCATCCGGACAGACAGACGGACAGACGGACAGACGGACATGGCTAGATCGACTCGGCTAGTGATCCTGATCAAGAATATATATACTTTATGGGGTCGGAAACGCTTCCTTCTGCCTGTTACATACTTTCCGACGAATCTAGTATACCCTTTTACTCTACGAGTAACGGGTATAATTACATATGCCCTCGAATACAAACACTGTGTTCGAGAAGGCAATTTTTCATAAATGGTATCCGGCTATGGAACAATCTACCGCACCAATACAAAACAATTAGGAGCGCAACTCAATTTTACAATAAAGTTAAAGATCTTTTAAAATACCAGTACACATAAGTATAAAAATTAAATAAAAGAAAATAAAACAAAAAAAAAACCAAACAAAAATAAAAAAATAAAAATATATATATTTTAAAAACAATAATAATTGTAACTAAGAAACTACGAAAATTTGATGTTAGTCAATAATATTAATTAAGAGCGAGAGAAATTGTTTTAATAACTTAAAAATAATAATAATATAAAATATCAACTCAATGTGACTAGCGTGATAATTATAAGTGTGCACTTGTAGCGCTAGGATATAAATAAATAAATAAATAAACATTAATGTATAATACGTAAGCATAACATTATAAGTTAATTCAATTTACTTAATTTCACTATAATCAAATAATTTACTTTTATAAAACAATATTAGTTTTTTTTCGATATACAATAGTGCTCCTAAAATATTAGGGCATTCACATGTCGCTGCGCCACGAAAATTTTTCCGCCGAAACATTAGTCGCTAGCCGAACATAACGGAGAGACTCAAAAGATATAACGGACCTGCCGAAATTGGTCTCTGAGAGCTGACGTCAACAGCATAACAGCGTTTTTGGCACAAAAAAAAAACAAAAAAGCTTTTTGCCTTGAGCCATGTTACCGCGTCACTACTGCAGAACTGAAGGGGAAACTCAATTTAACAAAGACTGCAAGACTATTTAAGACTTTTTTAAGAGCTTTTAAGAGCCACCTTACTATTAAACTACAAAATTTAGCATATTGGAATTTAATTTTAGAAAGTGAGAACTAATAAAAATTAAAATTTAACGTTAAAAGTTCAAATTAAAAAATTAAAAATTAAAAATTAAAAATTAATAATTCAAAATTCAAAATTCAAAATTCAAAATTCAAAATTCAAAATTCAAAATTCAAAATTCAAAATTCAAAATTCAAAATTCAAAATTCAAAATTCAAAATTCAAAATTCAAAATTCAAAATTCAAAATTCAAAATTCAAAATTCAAAATTCAAAATTCAAAATTCAAAATTCAAAATTCAAAATTCAAAATTAAAAATTAAAAATTAAAAATTAAAAATTAAAAATTAAAAATTAAAAATTAAAAATTAAAATTAAAAATTAAAAATTAAAAATTAAAAATTAAAAATTAAAAATTAAAAATTAAAAATTAAAAATTAAAAATTAAAAATTAAAAATTAAAAATTAAAAATTAAAAATTAAAAATTAAAAATTAAAAATTAAAAATTAAAAATTAAAAATTAAAAATTAAAAATTAAAATTAAAAATTAAAAATTAAAAATTAAAAATTAAAAATTAAAAATTAAAAATTAAAATTAAAAATTAAAAATTAAAAATTAAAAATTAAAAATTAAAATTAAAAATTAAAAATTAAAAATTAAAATTAAAAATTAAAAATTAAAAATTAAAAATTAAAAATTAAAAATTAAAAATTAAAAATTAAAAATTAAAATTAAAAATTAAAAATTAAAAATTAAAAATTAAAAATTAAAAATTAAAATTAAAAATTAAAAATTAAAAATTAAAAATTAAAAATTAAAAATTAAAAATTAAAATTAAAAATTAAAAATTAAAAATTAAAAATTAAAAATTAAAAATTAAAAATTAAAAATTAAAAATTAAAAATTAAAAATTAAAAATTAAAAATTAAAAATTAAAAAAAAATTAAAAATTAAAAATTAAATTAAAAATTAAAAATTAAAAATTAAAAATTAGACATATACGCCGTCGAGCCACGCCGCCGCCGCCGCCGATTTTTTGCTTTTTTGACGCGCCGCCGCCGAGTCACGTAAAAACCGGCGCGGCGGCGGCGGCGGCGGCGTTCGGCGTCATACAAATTTTTATTCATTTTATAAATAAAAAAGGTTATTATTAATATATCCTAAAAAAATTTTCGACAATAATCGCTTTCAGTTATCGATTAAATGTCTCATCTCCCATCTCCTTACATGTGTCCCATCTCTAAAACATTTAACAGCTGAGTGCGTAATTAATTTCACGAAGTAAGTTTTACAGTGTTATAATTGGATTAAGAATTATGTATAAGAATTAAATATCCCAACAAACAGATGGATAAGGCATTGAACATGTATTCAATTGAACTACAGCGCAACGCAAGTCGTAAAAGTAAAGTGTGGGAGTTTTTTGGTGTCTTGCAAGCGAAAGAAGAAAACAAGTTCATCGAAGAAGACAAGGTTTTTTGCAAATTGTGTTTGGATGAACAGAAAAAAGAAGACGAAACAACAATCTTTTCATGGTAACAGTTAAATTTATTATTTCAAGTTCAAAATTATATTTTTTAAATTGTTTCAGTGCTAAAATTCAATCATATTCTAAGAACTGTTCCACAGGGAACTTAACTCGTCATCTTAAAAATGAACGCAATATACGTGAAATCGACTCTCCGAGTACATCATTGGCTTCACGAGGAAAAATATCATCTTTTTTCAACAAGTGCACTCCAATAAAATCTCATAGAGATAGTAAATGGGCGCTGGGACGGGAGCTTGCTTTGTAGATGGCTAGAGATCTTCTACCATTTCATATAATTTGCCACAATGGACTAAAAGACTTCTTAACCAAATACAAAGTTGTTGTGTCTCCTGATGACATTCCTCATTACAAAACGCTTTCAACAACTGCACTCGACGATGTGTATGAATGCATTTTTCAAGCAGTTAGTCGTATGGTATCTGGACAAGAACACTTTGCCCTAACTTTTGATTTGTGGACGGACAACTATAGAAGAAGAAGTTATATAACATTTACCTTCCATTTTTTGTCACGGAACTTTGCGATGAAGCATTTAACGCTGGAAACAAAGTACGTGTCGAAGTCTCATACGGCAAGTAATATTTTAACAGAGCTCGAAAATGTTTCCGAAATGTTTAGTTTGCAAATGGGTTCTAATTTCGTCGTAACCGACCAAGGCAGCAACATCAAAAAAGCTATCAGTATGGGGTGTATAAACAACCATTTCTGCCTTGGACATGGACTACACAATTTGCTTAATGTAGATGGCTTCAATTCCGAGTCGGAAATCAAAAATTTAATTGTAAAGTGCAAAAATATTGTGAGTGCTTTACGATTTAAGAAACATATCTTGAAATGTCAAGCTGACGCACTTCAAAATGAAGTTTTGTCCAATATCGACAATTTAGAAGAACTGCTAGCTTCCGAAGATACTGAATGGGTTGACTACGATGATGATTTTGGGCCATTAGATGATGTTCCCTTGCAAACTTATATGAATATAAACAACCCTAATGACTTGCGAAGTAGTTTGGTGGACAAGAGAAATGTTTCTCTTAAGAACTCGGTCCCAACTAGGTGGCACAGCGTGTTAACCATGCTAGACAGTCTTGGGTGCCAAAAAACTGCGATCAACAAATTGCTTACAAGCAGCAATAAGACTCATTTAATATTATCAGAGACTGAAGCACAGCTTTTATATAAGTTACGCGATTTCTTGAAAAAATTTAAAGACGCTGTCAATATTTTGTCTGGAGATTCGTATCCATCTATAAGCATGGCGTTAATAATAAGAACAGAGATCGTCTCAATATTGGATGAAACCGAGCGCAATGAGCCACTTTCTTTGACTTATATGAAAAATAACATTAAGATGAAATTGGATTCAAGATTCCCACTATCGGACATACTAATCTGCGCATCCTTATTAGATCCGCGATTTAGCTCATTGGATTGTGTAGTTGATTATTGTAAAGAAAATAATCTAAAAAAAACCGAGTTTTCGCTAAAAATGTACAAAGAGCTGATTGGCGATATACAACAAGATATCGATCAATTAAATGATAGCGAAAATCAACCTGCAAACAAAATATTAAAGCTTGCTGAACGACATTCTACAAACACAAAACATGGCAACTTGGAAGCAGAATGCCATCTACTGTTAAGTTTGTCTTCACGCCAAGACGTACTAGCTTTTTGGAAGGAAAAAACAACTGCAATGCCCTTACTATCGAAGCTGGCACAAAAAGTATTGTGTATTCCGGCAACGAGCACACCAAGTGAGCGAGTCTTTTCCATTGCTGGTCTTACAATTACACATAAACGGTCGCAGCTCAGTCCTCACAACGTCAATAAAATTATTTTCATTCATGATAACTACGAAACTTGTAAGGAAAGTTTTTCTTAAGAATTTTTTTTTAATAGTTTAATAATGAAGACAATGAATTTCAATTTCAATCAATTTCAATGAATCTCAAAACTGTCAAGTCAAGAAAAGACAATGAATCTCAAAACTGTCAAATCAAGAAAAGACTGTTATTTTGTTTTAATTTTAGTTTAAGTTGTTATTTCGCTTTACTTACTTATTAATTATGAAGTCAATAATTTCAGTTTAATTTGTTATTTCGCTTAACTTAAAAATTAATTATCAAGTCAAGAAAAGACTCTTATTTAGTTTTAGTTTAATTTGTTATTTCGCTTGACTCACTTATTAATAAAAGGAAAAAAAAAATCAGTTTATTAAATGCTTACGCCGCCAGCCGCCGCCGCCGGTTCTTTCTAACGGCTACGCCGCCGCCGCTGGGTAATTTAGAACTCTACGCCGCCGCCGCTGCTGAAACCATCGGCGTAAACCTCTATTAAAAATTAAAAATTAAAAATTAAAAATTAAAATTAAAAATTAAAAATTAAAAATTAAAAATTAAAAATTAAAAATTAAAAATTAAAAATTAAAAATTAAAAATTAAAAATTAAAAATTAAAAATTAAAAATTAAAAATTAAAAATTAAAAATTAAAAATTAAAAATTAAAAATTAAAAATTAAAATTAAAAATTAAAAATTAAAAATTAAAAATTAAAATTAAAAATTAAAAATTAAAATTAAAAATTAAAAATTAAAAATTAAAAATTAAAAATTAAAAATTAAAAATTAAAATTAAAAATTAAAAATTAAAAATTAAAATTAAAAATTAAAAATTAAAAATTAAAAATTAAAAATTAAAAATTAAAATTAAAAATTAAAAATTAAAAATTAAAAATTAAAAATTAAAAATTAAAAATTAAAAATTAAAAATTAAAAATTAAAAATTAAAAATTAAAATTAAAAATTAAAAATTAAAAATTAAAAATTAAAAATTAAAAATTAAAAATTAAAAATTAAAAATAAAAATAATAGTAATTATAGTAGTATTTATTAAGATTTATTATACCCGTTACTCGTAGAGTAAAAAGGTATACTAGATTCGTCGGAAAGTATGTAACAGGCAGAAGGAAGCGTTACCGACCCCATAAAGTATATATATTCTTGATCAGGATCACTAGCCGAGTCGATCTAGCCATGTCCGTCTGTCTGTCCGGATGAAAGCTGAGATCTCGGAAACTATGTGAGACTATTGAGATTTGGCGTGCAGATTCCTAAGCTTCTTACGCAGCTCAAGTTTGTTTCAGTAGAGTGCCACGCCCACTCTAACGCCCACAAACCGCCCAAACCTGTGACGCCCACAGTTTTCATGCTAGATAAAAAATTTTAACTGAAATGTATTATCTTACGCCCATAACGCTTAAAACTGTCGACCGCCTGTAGGTGGCGTATTTTAATCTCGCTTTGATGCTTGCATATCTCCATTTACCTTTGGTCCCTTTAGCTGAGTAACGGGTATCTGATAGTCGAGGTACTCGACTATAGCGTTCTTACTTGTTTTGTGTGCATTGTACCGGCCATTGCGTTTATGCGGCTCCTCAACAAAGACTCTGCGGTGAAGTAAGTTCTGGAGACGCTGGTACCAGTTCCACCTTGTTTAAGGGTTGAGGGCGTAAATTTCTTTTAATTATGTTGGTAACACTTTTTACTTCAAATCCGTTCTCCCTAAGTACATGTGCTACTTCTGTTGGTTGTACGTCTGCTTTAATGCCCTTAGTTACTACTTGTTGGTCTTTGCTGCTTTTAAGCTGATAACTGTAGTAGTTCTTTTTGTTGTCATCTAGGTTTTTTAGTCAAAATTGTGAACTTGTCTGCGTGTTTGACTTGGACTTTAGTCTCATGAATATGGCCTTTTGATAAGAGAATAACGTGGAAGTTATCATTCCCAATAATTCGTTTGACTTTCTGTACGATTTGTCTAAAATCCAAGTCCGATTAAATCCGACAACGGCAATGAATAAATTACTATGCCATTTTATTTAATTTCCAGTGTTCTGCCAATTCGGGCCCCCAAAACTTTCCAAGATTTTCTCACTGTATTTCCGCAGCCGCTAACTACTTGCACATATTTTTTGTTTTTCCAAATACAGTCCACATACAAATAAATCGAAAACGTCCACCACAACACATACCCGCCGGCAATAATTAATCAATAAATTTAAGACCTGCGAACTTTACATATATACATGTCCATTACATACAAACATATCCACATCTACATACATATCTACATACATACATATCTACATACATAAATATCTACATACACACATACCTATATACATTCACATATAATTTTAATTCCACCATCCCGTTCCCACTAAATAAAGTTTTCAGTCTGCCATCCGGTTAAAAATAATAAAATAAAAATTACACCAACCGACGTGAAAATTTTTTTTGGTCATTGTGTTTTATTTAAGAACCACCAAACTTTTTAGTATTTTTTCGGTATTTGCTATTTACTCCGTAAAATTTTCTTTATCCAGGGAAAATAATACTAGCACTCCACCGCATGCATAGCATCCTCCGTCCACCAATTTTTTCGGTATATTTTAGTATTTTCCCCTCGGGATATTAAATAAAATTTAAATAATACTCTACTACTAAATAATAAAAAAAAAGCATCCTCCGGCCAACAACTTATTGGCATACCTTGGTATTTTTCTTCACTCAGAAGTTTAAATTAAGGCGAAATAATACTATTACTGCACCGGGGACTATAATACATATTAACCCCCTCGAGTTATTTCAAAGTAAAAAAAAATTCCAGCAATAAAAAAAAAACCAAACTTGATCCCAATTATACCACATTATAATATACATATACCAAAGAGGTTAAATACCATAGTATTTTTTCTCCACGGGTAATATAAGAACTCCTTAATCACCTTTCCTAATCCGTATCATTGAGTTTAATTCCGCAAAGTAAACCAGGTCGGTACGTGCTTCAATTTCTATTTCTCCGATCCATTACCTTTTTTGTCGACACCTCTTTCCACAGTTCCAGAAGTGGGCCGGGTTCCTATTTATTCGACATAAGCAAAGACGAGCAGATTCTGACCCAAGAAAATGTTTTTTTTTAATGTCCGTTGGAAGTGATAACAACAAGTTGTCTGTTCCACCTGCCCAGGCATATCCGTAGATCCGCCCACACCCGAACTAAACGCTAAGTCCTCGTCGCACCGAAAAAAGGTCACCCGTGCAATCGTTAAAATGGCAATAACAGCTTTCCAAATTGCTCTAAGCAAATTTATTGAGGTCTCAGATCTGCTGAGTGAATTTAAATCCAGAACAAACACTCCTTCGCCGGTCCCTCCTACTCTGTCCATGCTTAACATTTGCCGCGAAGAAATACGCGCGTTATGGAACCACATCAAGGCAGATAACGATGAATGCACCGGGTGCATAGCAGAAGGCGGAAACAGTGGTGATATTAGTTTGCCAATTCTCAAAGCTAAATACGGCTACTGCTATTCCGTTTAGAGAGATGTGGGGCTCAGATCGCGGGTATGATAGCCCAAGCTCCCCAAGTTCAAGCTGTTCCTACCCAGACTTACATTTCCTCCGGCTGTCAGCTGCCTCCGTGTGATACCGAGGCTTTTACCGGAGATTATCTGCCTTGGCCGACCTTTAGCGATCTTTTTACGGCCATTAATATAAACAATCCAATGCTGACGAAAAACTGTTTCACCCAAATGCAAAAACAAGTGGCGATGCACACACGATAGTGTCGAACTCCCCCCTTACTAACGATGACTTTCGCTCAGCTTGGGCTAACCTGACTAAGCGTTTCGAAAACAAGCAGTTGTTAGTAAAAAGCCAATTAAATATACTCTTCAATATGCAGTCCGTTAATCAGGAATCTGGGTCAGTGAACTTCAACGTACCATCCAGGGTTGCCTCACGGCTTTAGAAATGTCCGGAATTCATACCGATAATTGGGATTGCCTCTTAGTGTACATGTGCTCCTCCAAACGTCCGAAGCTCACGCTATCGTTGTGAGAACAGTCCCTGCACAACAAGGCCGAGATTCCGACGTGGCAGGATCTGAACGCATTCCTTACGGAGCGTCACCGTACCTAAGAAGCCATAGACGACGTACAGCCGTCAGGCTCGAGTCAATCTCTGCCAAAAACATCCGCCCCCACTGCAGCGCCTCGAAGAAAAAATTCTTACACAAGGGTAGGCCTGACTTGCAAATAAACACGACGGCCTATGGTCTTCCTCAATTAGCTGGAAACCTCCCACCTTGTCCGATTCCGCAACAGTTTTTACGGGATCTTCCCGAACTGCCACTAGCGGATCCAAAATTCTACGAGACCGCGCAAATAGATATTCTGGTCGGGGCCGACGTACTGCCATCCATTCTCCTAAGCGGCACCCGTTTGACAGGGTGGCTCTCTCCTCGGTCAAGAAACCATTTTCGGGTGCATCCTAACGATTTTTCCACGCAAATCTCGCACACGGTTGTCACGTTCCTGGATAGGCTTCTCACCAAATTTTGGGAGGTGGAGTATCTGCCAGTAAAAAAGACAAAAACTTCCGATTTGACCTGTGAGGAAAATTTTCTCCGGACGACTACGAGAGACGATAGCGGCAGGTATGTCGTAAGTCTTCCGTTTCGTGATCCTGAAAACGTAAAATCCGCCCTCGGTCACTCCAGATCCTCCGCGTTATCGCAGTTCCTAAGAACCGAGCAACGTCTAAAGAGGGACATTCAGGTGAAAATCAAATACGACTCCGTGGTTCAAGAGTATCTCGACCTTCATCACATGAAAGAAGTCCGTCCTACCCATAATTCTGCCTTCTACCTTCTACCTTCCGCATCATGCCGTGCTCAAGCCGGAAAGTACAACCACCAAGCTGCGTGTGGTTTTCAATGCCTTCAGAGAATGGGGTCAGTTTAAATAATATCCTTCATGCTGGCCCAGTCTTACAGTCCGATCTAACCATCCAGATCCTGAAGTGGTGATATTTCCGATACGTCTGCAGTGCCGATATCGAGTAAATGTATCGACAGATATGGGTACATCCGAAGCATTCCCCGTTCCAGCGCATCTTATTCCGCAACAGCGAGGGGCACATTTAAGATTTTGAATTACAGACGGTAACTTTTGGAGTCAATTGCGCGCCATTCCTGGCGATTCGAGTCCTGCACCTGACGTGCAGCTCAGCCATCCAAAAGCGAGCGACGATGTCTTTTCGGGAGCTGACTCCGCCGAGGACGCTCAGCTCATTCTTCGCGAGCTACAAAGTGCTCTAGATTCCGCGGGCATTCCATTGAGAAAATGGACCTCAAACCACAAAGAA